TAATATTTTAAATGGTTTTTGAAATTTTTGAAAAAAACGCGTTTTTTTTCAACTTTAAAGTCATATATCTTTAAAACTAAGTCGTTTTGAATTAGTCATATGAAGCTTTCGTCTTGAATTTGTGTGAGAAATCACTTTTAAAATCTTTTAGCATATACTTCGGATACACCCTATATATACAGAATAAAATATTTAAGAAAACATTTCAGAAAAAAATGTTTCAAACGAAGGTTGTATCGTCTCAAGAAAGAATAATGATGATGAAATTATTATAAATTTTAAAAAAAATCAATTTTTCAAGATTACAAAAAGGTCCTCACTCTCCACCCATTTTTTAAATGGAATTATATAATTGTTTTAACATAATACGTTTCTCTAATTATTCTATATATAAAAGTATTGAAATAGAGTTATCAAAAAATCGGAGATTGAGCAGGAAAATTCTCGAATCTCTATACTATCGAAGACAGAGCATTGTAGACGATTTCATCTATCTGAAGTGGATAATATCATGCAAAGATGTAAGCTGCATTTTTGAGATTAAACAAAGAATGGCCAAACGTTGATGACTATAGGCTTGAGAACATCTGAAGGGATCAGAGAATCTCTGGCAAGACAAAAATCTATCTTGTTTGAAACTTGATCTTTCCCATATTTTTCTGCGAAGTGGGGACTTAGACTTCGAGCAAGAGAGAGAAAGGATCAACGCGTTTGAAATGTGATGTTGGGCGAATGCTATGGATTCCGTAGACCGTCAGACGTATCAATGATAATATATTCATCCTTTCAGAGCTTGGAATAAAAGATCGAATATCCACTGTATGCTACAAACACATACTATATCCCCACTTCAACCACATAACCAGACGCGAAGATGACAGTCTTGAAAAATTGATAATCATTGGCAATATCAAAGAAAGAAGAGCACGAGGCTCATCCTCAACTAAGTGGACCGACATCAACTAAAAGAAAATAACTTTTCCACAATGAGGATAGCTACGGATAGAAATCGATGGAAACAATTCATATGCTTCTAAATGGTTACATAAATGGAGATTTCAGTTATGAAGGACGAGAGAGAGAGAGAGAGAGAGAGATAAAAAATAAATATTTTACAAGATATTTTATATTTTATGTCAAAATATGGGAGAATAAAGTATAAAATATATCTTAAACTGTATTAATTTTTTGATAATCATATGGCTTTCAAGCAGAGGCATAAATCGACACAAGAGTCATTCCATCTTTGTTTCTTATTAATTATTGAACAAGGATAAAATGACTCTTGCATCAATTTATGTATTTTGCTGGAAAGCTTCCTCCATTATGTACAATTGTTATACTTAAATACTTTTACTTTTATAGAATAATAAGATAAATCAATTGATATAAAGAAAACGCAGTTGCTTATAAAGAAATTATGTAATTTGTAATATACGATATATAGATCCTTTTTGAAAAACACCTACATGTCTTCTTTATATCAATTGATTCAATTCATATTATTTTATGCATAAAAGTATTAAGATATTTAATCATCAAAAAATTAATAGTGTTTACAATTGAGATATTTTTCACATCAAAATGTGTACATCAAAATAAAGTACAAATAAAACAGTTCTTGAACTTTTGAGTCGCTTAATATTTTTATATAGAGAACAATTAGAAGAATATATTATTATATTAAAAGAATTATATAATTTCAATTTAAAAAAAACTAGAGATGATTTTTTAATTTTGAAAAAATCAATTTTTTTGAAAATTCGTTTTACCATTATTTATTTCTCTTTATACGACACAACTTTCATCTGGAACATTTTTTCTAAAATCCTTTTTTTTCCCAAGATTTTTAATAGTGAATTTGGTTGAATACATTAGTGCACATTAAAGTTGTTGTACTAATTTAATCTATATAAAATTAAAGTACAAATATTCAAACTAAGTATAAAATATAGATTTTTACTTAATAGCACAATGAAACATATTGAGAATTTCATAGTTTAATTCATTTTTACATTTATATTAAATATATACTTTTATGTTAATTTGTGTAAGGCAGTTTTAATATGCACCCAACTGAATTCGCTGTAAGTGGTTCAATTTCTCAGTATCTTACTTTGTATATTAAATATCCTATTTTAATTACCATGTAAATATTTTAAAACATTATATTATATTAAAAAAAAAAAATCAAGCATCAAATGCAATTGTATGAATACTTGCATTTGAAAAAGTATAGGTGACCTTTATATCTTTTTGGCATTTCTATCTAATCTAAAAACAAAAAAAATATAA